GAGGCCAGGGCAACACCTTGACCTCTTCGTTATGTTCCTCTAACCATTCCCAAACAATGTGTTCAGTGTGGTAGGGTGCAGTATACTGCTGAAAGAGGCCGCTACCAGCAGGGAATACCACTGCCATGAACAATGCTTAAGTCCATGGCAAGTGTCAATTGGACATCCACATGAATGCCTGGACCCAGTGTTTCACAGCAGAAAATTGCCCACAGCATCAAACTCCCTCCACCAGCTTACCTTCTTCCCACAGTGCATCCTGGTGGCATTACTTCCCTAGGTAAACAGCGCACACGTACCTGGCCTCCAAAATGATGTTAAAGAAAACGCGACTCCTCGGATCAGGCGATCTTCTTTCGTTGCCAACTGTTCATTTATCACCTAATATATCCAAGACCTGACATGCGCCATTGTTATGAAAAAATCAGCAATATTAACTAATTCTGTAAGTGGTGATAGTGTTTGGGAGTGTATTTATATACTATAAAATCAGTGTATATCAGAGTATATTTCTCTGACAAAGCAATATTGTTACATACAATATGTAACAATACATATTGTTCACTGAGGAGAAAAGATCTTGTGTACAAGACAAGCATGTTATACTGGTTAGTGTTAGTTCATCAGCTCCTTTGTAGAAACAGTTTTCTTAAGTTTTCATGTCAGATAAATAAACAATTTCTCATGGCTATTTTTTAATAATATAATATGTATTCAATTGTTAACTGTTACCTAAAAGTAAGCCTGCGTTTGGCCAAATTCCATTTTTTTCCCCAGTTTGTTGTTGGTCAGTGTGGTTAACCAGATATCTGAACCCCCAGAAATCAAATTTAGTCAGAATGTACCCCTAATCTACCCCCTAATCCCTAGTTGTGTGAACTGGCATAGACCATTCATCACCCAGCATTACTCTGCACCATTACTTACTATGTCTTTTTGCTCTAGGAGCTTGCCTCTTGAAGAGAAACAGCTTCTTTCTGACCAGCTGTTGTCATTACTAAGATCCATGATGCCCAGTAAGAATGTGCTGACACCTTGTCTGCTTGGCCGTCAGTCACTGTCTGGATTACTAGAAACCATCAACAGACATGTTAAATAAATAAGCAACATGACAACTCTTACCTTAAAATATCCAGAAAGTGTTATTGATCTAATTTCTCTGGTGTGATGTCTGAAAGCCCTTTGCATCGATGTATGTAACACAGTAGTCTGCCTGAGACATGAGTGGCTTGATGGTGAAGGGATAATGGAACCTTTTTAGGTTGAGTGGTGGAGGATGGAGTAAGAGGTACTTTTCCTCATTCTCATATTTGCGTGTGTATCAGGAGAAGTCTGGCCCTGTCCTGTATTAAATGAGGGTTGTAGAAGGCTGGCATTAAACTCAGGGCCTCATTGATTGTTCTCATCAAAGCAAAGCCTCTGAAGTTCCAGTCTAGCAGCTGTGTAGGTGAATGTCGCTGTGTTCAGGAATGCGATTTGTCATTTGTAACTATGGTCTTGCTGGATGTGGTCTATGAGCTTAATGAGCCTTACATTATAAAGATGAAATGGGTATCGAATGTAAGAATGCTACTTCAGCCTGCTTCTTTTAATACTACGCTCTCAACACACACACACACACACACACACACACACACACACACACACACACAATGAAGAAAAATCTATAAAAGCTGATGCAGTAAAATTAATAGGTTTCATAACATTTCACCCAGTTTAGTGACATCATTTACACATATCCTGAGATTTAATTTTTTTCAGTGAACTCATTTTGTCTTTTCTGTCGCCTCACATAACTGAATAAACACTCACCAAACAAATGGGCTTGATTACCTTTGCATAACTCACTGTACTATTATACAACAGTTTGTTTGAAGATAGGTAGTTGTGTAATTGTATAATTGTGTGCTGATTTTGAGATATAATTTCTCCAGAGGTTAACAGTGAGTCACTGAATCACTTTTGTGTTGCTATGCTATGACACAGCGAGCACTGATTTTGCGCAGCATGTTGCACTCATTCTATTGTTTGAAGATCTTTACTGTACTTCTGACCTTGAAAAAGACCTCTTGGTCAGATACTGTCTGCTGGTTCTCATAGCTAATGACAGTCAGGTGTCAGAAGGTTGGTATGACTGTGCAGGTTAAGCTTTGAGTGGAAAGTCAATTCATCTCATTGTTTAACTGTGAGGGTAACAAGGTCTGAGTTTTTTCTGAGTTTTCAACAATTCATTATTATAGGGACTCACAAATAGTTATATAATTGAAGGTCATCCCAAAGCATTTTCCAAACTAGTGCAGGGAAATGTATAATAGGTGGTCAAGTGTCATGTAACCTGTGGTTACAACATAAAATCTGATTGCATAAAGAAGGAGATCTGTGGTCAGCATGTAGCTGGTTTTGCTGTTTGATATATTTGCACTAGCTAAGATGGACTCTCTCAAACACTGATCCTATGTGGTGTGCTGACATAATTGTGCAAACAAAACTAAAGCTAGCTTAAAGACTTGGCTCTGGTGTTTCTTCAGTTTGTCAGATCAGGATGCACTGCTGTGGAAATTAGGGATCAGTGCCAGTATCAGTATCATGTACATATCTGCCAGTACCAAAACATAGATATTTATAAAACTAAGTGATTGGGACTATATATGCCTGGATTAGCATTATGAAGAAATATAAGATATGATATTTATTTGTAGAGAGTTACAAATGCAGACATTTTAGCACAGTAACCCAGCATCATTTAAATGTTCTGCTCTTGCAAGGTACAATACATATGTCATCAAATATTGGGAAATATCAGTCAGATCTAAACATCTCTCTAATATATAAATAAAAAATACATATTGGTAAATGTAGCCCCCCTTTCTACATTTTGTAAATGTTTATGTATTGGCATCATAATGTATGCACAGTCATATGCAAGTTTAAACACCCCTGGTAAAATTTCATGTTTTGTTGATTTTCTAAATGAAATTAACACATCATCTACAGGGGAAAACAATAAATGTGAGATTTTTATGTGCCAATTTTAATGCCCAGTTTCTATTTATTTGCTGAGATTTGCATAATGAAAAGTATAAGTCACAAAATATGAAAATGTGGCACAACTTTTGCACAGGCCACATTTTGTTTTATTTTTGTCCAAAATGTTAAATTCTGTAAAAAAAAAATAAAAAAAAATTGTACATTAAAATGTGCAGCAGTTTGTTCTCTGTGTGGGATGTGTACTTATTTTCACTTAAAAAATAAACAAAACATAATTTGACCAGGGGGGCCCAAACCTTTGCACACCACTGCATATGAAAAATCAGATATTGGCATCAGCCCATAATTCCTATATTACGGTTCACCCCTCAATTTTAGGGGTTGTGATTTTTGGGGCTTAGTTTGTTAGACCTCTGGCGCAGCCAAACCAATGTGAGCCAACCCAATCTGTGCAGTATATAATTAGAGCTCTACACAGTCAAGACATTTAAACACATTGAATATCAAAAATCAGATGAAATCTTGACCTTCAAATGAAATGAATGACTTCAAATGAAATTGAAAACCTTTACCGTTATACCCTTAGTGTACAGTGCTCATAGTATGACGTGTTAGCTTGACAGTGAGGATCATTATCCATCATATTACTGCATAGAGAGCTCCACATGGCAGTGACCTTTGCAGATGGCCACAGATCCCTTTATTAGCATCTCTGTTTTCCATGCTCTGTCTGTACAGGATGCTGTGTGCAGGAGAATTGCATTGAGCACCTGCTGTAGTGTGAGAAATGCCGTGCAGGTGACTAAAATAGACTCAATTAGGGAGGCATCATCACAGATAATGGGGAGGATTGGGATGGAGCAGCAAACAAGTGGCGTCACCTGGCTAATGTTAGAGCCACGATGCACCTGGCAACAGCAAGCACAATATGTTTTTGAGCGGGAGCTGTTTTGTTTAGCTGTTGCTCTTTGTTGGTTGAAAACATTGTCAAAACTTGATGTGTTTTTTTACATATTTTTCACCTGAGGTCACAGTTATCTTTCTTTTTTCTCTCAAGTTAAAAAAGACTAGGCTAAAGCTAATCAGATTGATGTAGCTGAGATACAAAAGAGAGGTCCATGTTTGTATTGATCTTGAAAAGTGATCTGGAGATATTGAGTGTTATTTGTTGCTGAAAGCCTTTTTATCTCTTTATCGCTTCCTATAGTCCATGAACTCTAGTAACTGTAGTTCAGAGATTAGTTCTCCTTTTCAACAGTTTAGCTTTGAGGCTTTGAATCCATTCATTCAGTAAATCATTTTGAAGGTTTTGTTATTAGCAAATGTTTGGCAGAGATCATTCCAGCGTGGGAAATCAATATTTTTATATCCCTTTCAATGTGTAGAATGAAAAGATCATTGTGAAGAAATGCAGCTCTTTCATTAAATTAATTCTCTCTCCTTTTTTCTCTCTCTCTCTCTCTCTCCCCAGAGTCCTTATACACATACCCCAGTGTAAACTCTTATTTACTCATGCCAGACAGCTTCTTTTTATTTCCTGTTTTTAATTTCTGCTTCCCTGAAGTATTTGTGCTTTCTCTTATAATTCCTCCCTTATATACACATCCTTACAGCCGTGCTAATGCTAATGAGGGCCAGTTCAGGAATGTTTCTGCTGCATATAGACCCTCCAAAGACACTTCAGTTGGCACTTTATAGCCACTATAGGATAGATTCTTACTTATAAATGCCCTGATGTACTTTACATGCCAAGCCATTGCTTTTTTAATTGCCATACTGTGGATGAAACCTAGCGCTTTCAAAGCTAGAACATCTTCCCTCGCATTTTAATTACCAAAAGATTAGCACCTTTGGAAATGAGCTGGGTTGATGTTAGCAGAGGCAAACCAGTTGGTTTCTTTTCAGTAACGTCAGATTAAAGTTAATTAATGTAGGCATATTTGTGTCCCAGGGGACAAAAGGAAAGTAATTGATTTTTTTTCTCCCCTCCTCTTTTTTTCTCCTTCATACAGTATGAATTTAAAGTGAAGAACATCAAGAAGAAAAAAGTCAACATCATGGTTTCCGTGGATGGGGTCAAAGTTGTACTGCGCAAAAAGAAAAAGGTGAGGCTGTCTGTTCTCTGTGTTTGCCTCTTGGAGTTGATACACTGATTGCTTTATAATTCATTCTCCTCTTTAGTTACCTAGCGTATTATGATGAGCTCTGTGAGGATGACCATTAGCAGGGTTGGCTTCCTTGATTCACATTCAGCCTGGTGAAGAATGATCATAGTGTTTTCCTGGTAAATGGCTATCCAAATGGAGAATAATTACAGTGTAGGAGATGTGTGGCCTAGGCTGGTCAGGATGGGAAGCAATCAGCTATAATTCAGTAGAGTAGGTGGAGAGCGGTCAGTCTGCTATATTTGTGTAATGTCATCAACCTCCAGCGTTGCATGTTGTTTTTGACTGTGTTGGTTTCAAAATGCATCCCAGGAAATGACCATTATCCATCGTAATTTCTGCAGTATCCTCTTGTAAACAAATTCAGTGGTCTGAAAAGACAACTGGTTTTCCATTTAAAGGATCAACTCACAAAGAGTTTCATTATTGCTATCAAATCACAGAGCAGAGATTCTGCTAAAATATATGTAGTATATATTTATATACAGTATATTTATATTATATTTCTTTATTTATATAGTGCCTTGCAAAGGTATTTAACCTCCCTGAAAGTCATCAGAATTGTCTGGATTACAAATGACACTTTGATATTTTGTGCTGTCTTATATTTTATTAATAAATTAAAATCAGTAACTGAAATGTGCTGTTTGCATAAGTATCCATCCTCTGTGCTGTGGAAGCTCCTAGTGTTCATAAATGAAAGTTAGTGCCCAAATGAAGACACAGTTTGCTTACAGCTGGCCGCTACCAGTGAATCATTAAAAAAATAATCTTTTCTGGTTAAAAATAATTCTTTTTTGTATGAAAGACACACTTAATTTGAGTACCATTGGTTAAGTTCCAGTGTACATCTGAAGGAGATTAGAAAAAAAAATTAGAAAACAAGTTATAGGCATGATCGGAAGAGGCCACAAAATAATATCCAAGTGTTTAGATATCCAACTGAGTGCTGTTGGATCATTTGTGAGGAAATGGAAGAGGCATCATATCACCTAGGCATTGCCTAGCTAAGGCCGTCCATCAAAACTTGGTGACAAAGCATGAAGTGGACTTGTGACGGAAGCTACAGAGAGGCCAACAATCACTCTGAAGGAGCTACAGAGTTTGATGGAGTGAAGTGCACCAGTCAGCGATATCAAGAGCTCTGCATACAACTGGCCTGTATGGATGAGTAGCTAGAAAGAAGCCATTACTAAAGAAAAAACACATGAAAGCACGTCTAGAGTTTGCCACACATGACCCTGCTAAAATCTGGGATGAGGTTTTGTGGTCAGATAAAAAAATGACAAAAATACATAAATTAAGAAAGAAATAAAGAAATGAACAAAAATGGAGCTTTGTGGCCAAAATTCAAAATGCTGTGTGTGGCGCAAACCTGACAATGTCCATTCTCCAACAAACACCATCCTAACACTGAAGCAGAGGTGGAAGTGTTATGGTGTTTGGGTGTTCTTCTTTAGCTGCACATCTTGTTAAAATTGAAGGAAGGATGGATTGTGTGAAATACAAGGAGATACTGCAAGACATCTTCCTTCAGTCTGCTAAAAAGAAAAGCTTGGAAGAAACTTCACAATTCAGCAAGACTCCATGTGATTCCAAGCACAAGGGCAAAGCAACATATGAGTGGCTGAACAACAAAAAGGTGAATGATCTGCAATGTCCGAGTCCAGTCCAGTCGAGAATCTTTGGATGACACTTGTGGGCCATAATTTTCAAACAACCTGAACAACCTGGAGCTAATCTGCCAGGAGGAATGGGTGAAAATCACCACCAAACAGTTTGCAATGCTGGTAGAAACCTACCGCAACACTATTAAAGCTGTTTTTGCAGCAAAAGGTGGTACTAGACTGAATATGTATGCAAGCAGCATTTGTCAGTTTTTAATTTTTTAAAACAATCTGTTGACAAACAATCAGGGGTGGAAAGAGTACTGAAGATCCCTACTTAAGTAAAAGTACTGTTACTGTAAAAGTGTTAAAGGAAAGCCAAGTAAGAGCAAATAAGTAGTTTAATGGAAATTGACTTGAGTAAGCAAGTTACTTTAATGTATATATGCAGTCACAACCTGAAAATGTTTCTGAATTGACTCGGCTACATCATTGGAAATAATCTGCAAAGACAGAACTAAAGCCTAATATTATATTTCATGAGAAAAAAATAGTTTTGAAAGCTGAGACTGATCACAGTGTACTCTGCTAATGCATGTTTACACACCTTTCTGTGTGCTGTGTAAGCAACAAGGTTTACATTACTACATGCATTTCATAGTTAGATGATTATATAAGGCTTCCTAGTTTATCTGTTTCCAACAAAGGAGTAGTAGTAGTAGAGTCCATGAAAGGCTCTGCTTTTTCACTTTTTAATAAAGCTTTTAAAAAAATCAAATAACTTGATTAAGAGTCAAAATAACATGTGGATTACTCAGTTAATACTGTAATTTTTAATGACTGCCCTACTGCCTGTTGGCTTCCTGAACTTTAGCTTACCTTAACTCATAGGTGTCAACATCTACAGACAATTAACATGATATTCACAGCCTTCAAACAGTGTAAATTCACAATTTGAAGCAGTTTATCCTGTTTGGATTTTCTTTACTGTAATATATTTCACAGGTAGTCATACTTACTACTCATACAGAGTCAGACATTTATTTTTACTTAAACAGTTAAACAGCTAAACAGTGTCTCACACAGTTAGAGACAAACACAAAAGCAGAGAGAGCAGAGCCAGGCAGCGTTATTTGATGAAGTGACTGAATAAAGTCTCTGATGATGTAGTTTTATCTGTAAGGTGAGATTGAGGAGAAAAGGTAGTTTTGCAAATGGATTTTTATGTAGGTGACTGTTCAGGACCCTTAACTTTTTTTTTCTACAATCACACTGAAAGATGATCTGCATGTTACAGCACGACACATTTTAAACTCTGTTTGAATGATGTCCTGATGTCTCTGATGGCTCATTATTGATGTGAACAGATTTCTGCTTTGTCTGTGTACAGGGTGTGCATACTGTACTACCTGCAGTCTGATCAGATTACTGTGAAGACCAGTAACGTTAAGTCTAAAAAGAAACAAAGTGAAGAACAAGTCTGAGTTTGACAGAATTACTGTGCAGTGAGTTTATAGGGTAACCTCTATTTTGACTAGATTTTCCGTATCACAAACTAATACAGCCGTTTACCTCCAAAACTGCCACAAAACTGCACTGTAAACCGATAAACCTCAGGCTTTGTTAACTAAAGTAGCGAGCTGACAGGCGCTCGCAATAAAACACACCTGACTGATATTAAGTTTAATAAATAGCTGCCAATTTATTGTGAAACAGCAAAGTAAGAACAAAATAGCACAGTGCCTGTTTAGCTACACACACTTAAATGATGGTTCTTCAAAGGTTTCTCAGCGAAGAAAATGGTTCTATATAGAACCATGAACACGTAAAGAACTCTTTGCATGTTTAAAGTGTTCTTTGCACCATGAAAGAGCTCTTCAGATTGATGGAAAACATACAGTAGATAGTTTTATATAGAACCTTTTTGAAAAGGGTTCTGTTGTTACAAGCTTGACATCGTAACAATAGAAGAACCCTTTTAGGTGCTATATAGACCCCCTTTTCAAAACAGTTCTATGTAGAACCATCTATAGTGCTTTCTGTATCAATCTGAAGAACGCTTTCATGATGCAAAGAACCCTTCGACCCTTCAGAGAAATGGTTCTTTGAGTGTTCATGGTTCTATATAGCTGCTCCCTCAGGCTAAGGCTGAGTTGTGAAAAGTGGAGATCTCAGCAGGTTTCGGGAGGCAGCTCTGTTTTCTGAATTGAGAACCAAGTCTGTTAAATTTTATCACACTTTCTTCTAATTGGTTCTTTAGCTAATATGCGCATAATTTATTTTTACTCTGTAATGTTATTAAAAATTAAAGGAACGAAGTAGAAGTATTTCATTAAAATTAACTTAAGTGAAAAAGTACTATGATTTAATTTTACTCCAAAGAGTTAAATTTACAGGGAAAACTGTGCTCAATTCATTACGTTCCACCTCTGCAAACAATGAATTTTAACTTTGAAAATGTAGTTTAAGGGTATATTAATTTTCAATAAAAATAATGCCTGCAACCATCAGTATAAGTGTCATTAGTAATCCAGAGAAATCTTTTAAGAGAGTTGAAAACTTTTGCAATGCACTGTATATGTACATTAATATATATATAAATATTTGTGCATTGGGTTGTGTTTACTTTTTTTGTTCTATATTAAAGTTGAAGTTGTTCAGAGTGATATGATGTGAAATGTGCTATTCTAACTAACAGTTAGAATTCACAATGGTGATGGTAGGAACCAGACATGTAAAATGTTTAATGTCTCTAAAAACTACCTCACTAAAAGCTGTTACACAAAATGTTTACAAATACGCTACTTTGCTCAGATGTTGAGAAGAGAAATGGAATCACAAGTAACAGTTTATTGGATGGCTGATTGGAGTAGAGCAAGGTTTAGGAAGCTAGGTAGTAATTTCTTCAAACTCCTCTGGCCAAGTTCTAGTATCTAGTATCTAGTTCTAAACAGATCTGCCCGTTTAATGAGCACTTTCACATTTGTAGTTGTTTTGGTTTCTGTGAGCATTGGCTCATATGTTGTCTTATATGCTGGTGTGGAATGTTCAGAGACTGTTATGACAGATCACAGGTGTCCACACAGATGTTTAAACAGTGCAGTCTGATGCAGTGTGCATTATTTTTTACCAGTAACGATCAGGATGCCAGGATCACTGGCAACACAAAGTTATATCTGTACAGCTCATTTTACAAATTTTATGTTGTATTTTGGAAATTTTGATATGTGTATAATGAGAATGTACACAGGATGCTTTGAGTTGTATTTCTTTATATAGAAGCTTGTATAAATAAGATTTTTGTAATTTAAAAAGATCAGATTCTAGTGGTGCACCAGCTCCAAATTGACAGCAGATTTGTGATTTTACTAAGAACCATCCATTAGTTTTTAATAGTCTCTGAGTGACCATAAAAAAGTGCACTTGGCTTCAGTTCTGAAATGATCTGACCATTTGTGCTGCTGACACTGAAAGTCTCTTTAAGTGTCATTATTAGATGATATGACAACTGTATTAGTCTCTCTCTGATCTATTTCTTTTTCCCTGTAGAAAAAGAATGACTGCATTAGCCTCTGTAATCTTTTTTTCTCTTTCTCTGTAGAAAAAAGAATGGACCTGGGATGAGAGCAAGATGATGGTAATGCAGGATCCCATTTACAGGTAAGTCCTCCGTCACTGAAATTACAGTTGCACTTCAGTGTTAATAGCAGTTGGATATCTCCCTCAGTAGCTTGTCTTCCAGTCAGAAACAGCATGTGATTTGCATTCTGGACAGTTGCTCTTCAAAAAGTCTGGTTACATCTGGATTCATTTAGGGCTGCAACGGTAGAATATTTTCATTTTCAAATTTTCTATCAAATTTTATCTTGGACATTCAAATATTCTATATGAATAAGAGAGTTTAAATGAATAAACAAAGCTTTTTATTATTATTATTATTATTATTAGTAGTAGTAGGAGTAGTAGTAGTAGTAGGAGTAGTAGTATTATTGTGCTCTGTTCAATACATTCCATTTATATGTTTTGTAGTATTACAATGTAATGAAAAATCACTGATTTAATAATTATTTACAAAGCAATTTGCATTAAAAGGCTAAACTTGGGGGTTCTTCCCAATCTGGCAACCCTGAACACAACAGTTGCTGGCCCTGTTTAAACAGCAGTGAACAAGGCAGGAAACTAGAGTAAACAGTGTCTTTTAAAATGGGTCAACTCTTGACAGTAAAGAAGAAGTGATGAAGGCATTCGAGCCACTCAAAACCACTTTACACCATGCTAACCTCAGCCTTCAATGTCCAGGGCAGTCTGAACAATTTTTCTACAGCTCTGGACAGCTAGCTAGCTGCGACACTCTCACTTATTCTCTGTAATCAATCCAAATGAAAACATGTTAGCTGGCTAGCAATCTGATGAAGTAGGAGACTTATTTTGACTGAACCTGGCAGTAAAACTGATTCTGGCGCCTCAGATTGCGAGATTCTCACAAGCTGTGCTAGATTAGATCTCCAGTGAGTCCGGTGTGCCGAGCTGGCAGCTGCATGCTATTTGTGACATGCTAGTAATTGGTATGATAAACAATGGATTTCCCCACTGATGCCCGTGGGCTCATATAAATGGTAAGGATGTCGGTTATTTTATTGGACTTTCCATTGTTGAAAAATTTAATTGATAGAATTTATTGAGTATTAGAAAATATTTGCTGCAGCCCCAGTTACGTTAACAAATACTATATGTAAATGTATGTGCACACCTTTTTCATTAAAAAAGATGAAATATATTTCAATGTTCATCTTGTCCATTAATACAATTTCTTACCTAATAAATTGATACTGTAATGCGGATGTTTTAGCATAATACATTTCTCAGTTATGTATTAAAACAGAAAAAATGAGTCTTTTTTTAATCAGTGACATGGTGTTTCACTTGAATTATGCTGAAATGCATTTAGAATTCCCTATTAAAAATGTGCTTTACAGAAGAGTTTAGTAAAAAATGATTTAATGTGAGTACAGCAATAAGAAACTGCAGTAGGCTTACTACAGAAATTATCACTCCATTACCAGAGCAGGAATGCAGATTGTTTTCATGTTAGGTTTGCCATTGCTAAGCTCCAATATGCTATTGTTTTGCAATAGGCCAAGAAAGAAAGGCCAAGGCTACAAAAAAGCAAGTCAGGCATGCGGTTTAACTTTTACAGCTTCATTCTGTAAATGGTTTATTTTTGACATGTAGCATATATATATATATATATATTTGTAGAAAACTACAAAACATGATTAGGGCTGGGTAACCTACATCAGAAGCTTCATACTGATGAAAGATCCTAGTGAAAAATGGTAGCATAACTGTCAGTGCTTTAGGCTTTTGACACTGATAGATTGTATGCGCAAAATTCTTGAACTAACAAATGGCCAGCATCCAAAGCCTCACATCCGCTGTGCAAGTGTGAATGACATGTAGGTGAAGGATCCTTGAAGGCAGCAGACATGTAATTGACCATTTACATCCATGTTAACTGTAGTGACATGTGAGTGAGGTGTGAGCAAGGCCTCTGAGCTGTTCTGCCTACTCTCAGTGTGTGCATAAACAGGCCTGACGTTTTGCTCTAAATGCAAAAGTTGGGAACCCTGCTTACATCACTTTTTTCTGGTATGCAGACGTAAAATTAATCTGGTCTGATTTTTTCTTTAGATTTAATTGACATAATAGACACAAAGCATTTTAAAAAGAGATTTAAGGAAATGCTGAATTTCTCTGTACCCGAATTTTGACATCTACTACTGATTCTGAAATTGAACTACCAGAACAGGAAAGCAAAAATGAGTGTCCACGTTAATAACAGGCTTATAAAATGTACGTTAGCCATCATAAATAATCATGAATCATTAATAAACATGCTTATTGACTTGGGGATGCTGATAAGACTGACTTCTTAGATTTTGAAATTTGGTACGGAACGATTTGAAGTTCTTTGATACTCTGTTGTATTGAAATAATTTGTTTAGTACTGTAAGAGTATTGAATTTCAGCCCTATACATGATAGATGTTTAATGTTTGTGCAGTAGGGAAGTTACAATATCGTTTTATTATTATTATTATTATTAGTAGTAGTAGTAGTAGTAGTAGTAGTAATATTATTAGTAGTATTATTAGTAGTAGTAGTGATGTATTTATTAGGGATGCTCCAGAATTTCTGCAAATTTTTGTCCAAAATAGAAAAAAGTGGCACTTTTGGTTTCTATTCAAAAGAGAAAAAAGGCTGGAAATTTGGACTGAGGACTTATTACTTATGTCCATAGCCACAACATAAAGAGTTGTATTTTAATATTCTTTGCTATTCTGTTAGAATATCACATCTCTTCATGTATCTCCCCAGATGTACGAGCTTGTACCACTGCAGCTCGTCCCAAAACACATCAGTAACTCAACATCTCCAGATCTGTTTGCCCTCTCTTTATTTTCACACGTACTTGGCTGTGGCTATTTTAGTCTGTTTCAGATCAATAACTCAAATCCAGACCTACTTGGGTCAAGTAAACAAATGCCTGAGTGCCTGATATGGGGTAATGATAGGGCATTAGCTGCCGAACAATTTAATAAATGCCCAGAGATTTAATGATAGTCTGTTTTTTTGCAATGATTAGAAAAAGTGGAAAGCAATTAACTCTGGATCTGTACTGTTTTGATTATGCAAATCACAGTAGCCTTATGAGACAATACACTTTGCATATTAGAGATGTCATTTTATCTTTGTTACAAAAGGATCTCATTTAAATACATAATACCATCCTTTTTTGAGAGCATGTTCAGGTATAATGTTAGGTTTGACCTTGTATTTGTACACAAATTAATGTCTAAAATCCATTATGCAGTGCTACATTTCTGAGCTACAAAAGGTCTTCTGTTGGCGTATTTTACCAACTTTAGAAATGTATCAGAATCTGTTACGCTGCTGTCAATCTTTATTTGCCACGATATTGGACAGTTTTTACACCTAATTTGCATATGGTTGAAAATAGTTTTTCAAGGTGAACACAAGGTTCCAGACAGCCTTAGCCACGTAGCTGAGTAGAGCAGTGGGTGCTGTTTACTCAGCGTGTCTTACAAAGCTCACATAATGAGAAGCTGTGGTCAGGGTTTAAATCTCCGGATTAGCCAAAAGGAGACCCAAACCTTCAAGGTGTCTGCAGACACCACTATGAAGGATCAGAGAATATAGACACAGGTGTATTTGTCAGTTTGCTGTTTACCCACATTCATGTATATGCACACCAGTTCTTTTCTTTGGGCCCTGGAGGAAGTAGAGTCTTGCTACCGCTTTCAGGCTACAGAGAGCATAATAATAGAGTAATAGCATGATAATAATGTAACACTTAAAGTCTCATTACTATAGAGCATTTGTCAAACCCAAGGACGATTTACAATAGTATCAAAAAATATCTTAACAACAAACAAAAAACCTACAGCACACACACACAGAGTTCCACAGCTGGCTGGGGGAAAACTCCGCAGGCTGCAGTACAGAGTCATTTAGCTGGCCTGAAAGGTGTCCTTAGCAGTGGGTAAAAGTCCCTCTCAGGCCAGGAGGCCTTGTTGCAGCAGCAGATTTGTTGATTGACTGCTCCAATATGTATGATTCATCCAGTAACATTGTGAAAATCATGGCTGAAAACTGAGGGAAGTAAGATCAGGACGGGAATGTATGCTTAGACGCCACGCTGGAAAGAGTCCTTAGCTGCGGGAGAAGGTCTTGATTAGCCCGGTAGGAATTTTAGCTGCGGTGTAGCGCTACTCAAGTGGCCTGGCCTGAGAAGCCTCTGAGCCACAGCACCAGCACCACTTTCCAGCAAGCACGGAAACATCAAAACGTACACACAAACAATGTAAAAGTAGTGCACAAACAAAACTGAACATGGAATATTCTATTAATTTTATTAACTTTTTAATTTTGTTTGTGCTGAGAGATGAATACAACTGTGCATGTTGTTACGTATCAACTGTGAATGAAGAAACCTTTTAATATAAGCTCAGATTTGCAATTGTATGTTACACTCCAAAATGTAGTGTCTTGACAAGTGAAATGGTCTCATATCTAGTCAATATAATATTTCTCATTTTGAGATGGTTGCAAGTAAGATTTTCACTTTACTTGCCAGGTTTTTACTGTGTTTGTATGTTGCAAAATGAGGCAGTCAGTAAAGATTTGAACCTAATGTCCATCTCTGAACATTATTGGAAAAACCTGTCAGCATGTTGGCTGTGCTGACCTGTTCTAACAAGGGCACAATACAGTCAGTGTTACAGAGAAAATAATATGTGCACCAGTCAAAGAAAGTCAATTAACAGCAACCAGGGCTGTTGGCGCACCACATTCTTTCCCTGAATCTGTGTATTAAGAAAAAGAATTGCAGAACTGTGTTGCTATATTAGATGTGTACATTGCTTTTGATTTACACTGTGATATTAATTACACTAGTGTAGTGTAGCCCTGCATTCACAGGGAGCCAGTCTGCTCCACAGACCCCTCTCTTTCTTCTAGAATGGTAAATCAGTTGAAATTAACACTTTGAGAAGGTTTGGTGAAATGAATCAGACTTCTTTTACCACTTTCTGGACAGTGCATGTGGAAGATCAGTGCATCTGAGAATGCAGCAGACTG